CAATTTTTAATACTTCAGATTTTTATGGGTTTTTTACTGGGTCAAGGAAATTATTGACAAGCAGAATTCAAATACAAAAAATAATGAAAAATGAAAAAATCCCGCTCCAAATTTTTGAAAATTGTGGACGAGAAACATGATATCAATTTTTATTGGCCTTAAATATCCCAAAGTCATAGCAGCACTCTCCCCCTGACAAGTAAAATCATCTGGCATACAACAGAGTGAAATTATAAAGTAGGGTGCATCTGGGCGCATTGCCACTTAAAGGGTTACATTAATTAGGCTGGAGCTGGAAATACGAAGATGGCTGATAACCATATAATATATCAGTTTTGACCCAAACAGAAAATTAGTATTTTGTCACAGTACTGTTAATTCCGAGGGGTGTACCAGAGTAATATTTAGAGCACAAAATTGAAACATGTAAGTGCTGTTGCACCCAAGATCTTGTTAAAAAATCCAATGCATACTTTGCTGTGTAATGTATATCTTGCTTCCTGCTATTCCAATAAGCAGTCCATGCAGGGGGGGGGGCACTTTTGTAGAATCTTGTTTACATTTTCTGAAGACAAGAGTCTTGAAAAATGCCAAGAGACCTTCTATGTTAATTGTGCTTTGCATGCATGTAGAATGTTGCGGAGTATAACCTTTTGAATAATCGGAATGTATCAATTAAAGTTATTGAATATATACACAATACAAAATTACACACCATCATGAGTTTATGACTGAGTCAAACATCTCATTGTCTGGGTTTGCATCAATAAATCTGTGCAGAATAAATCTCTGGCTAAATCCAGGATATTTGACGATGATTGACTCATACATAAATGACAAAACATGCCATCAAATACTTCCATAATTTATACATACTTGTGTATGTACGGTAAACCCTGCTGTAAACTGTATAGAACGGTAAAGTTTAAACATTGTTTTGATTTTGCGCAAAAAAAATTTATGCGCATTTGCATGCCAAAATGCGCACATATATGTTATTTTGAATGCTTTAATAGCACGCATCAGTTGTGCTGTTACTTCGCGAGACTATTCAAAAGTATAAGTCCGCGCATAGTACTGATAGTGCACACTGGCAGGAAAATTTACATAACATAATTTTGCGGCACATACTCGCAGGCAAAATATTAAACAAGGTCGTCAATATATAAACCATTATTATACCCATGACAGAATAAGGATATATTCCTAGTCAGTGGTACCAATACATACATGCATTTGCCAAATTGATCATGTAAACAAATAAGATATTACTCACCTAAACAGACTTTACAAAAATTATGAAAGCAAGGCAAGCTTCTTGGTTCGTGTAGAGTTTCCAAACACATGCAACATGTGAGTAGTTCGTTGATTTCATCAACAGGAACACTTTCTGATGAAGCACTTGCCATTTCAATTAAATCTTTCTTACTTCACAATTTAGATAACATATTTGTGTTTTCTTTCCAACGA